GATCATTATTTTAGCGCCACGGAAAAGTTAATAATATAAATCCAAATTAATTTACGGCAGCCCKCCGTATGTATGTATGTATGGCCTCCTACGAGTGATATGGTGCGGCAGCCGGCGGTCTAAAAATTATCAATACCTAATTATTATTATACAGAGGCCGGCAGCTGCATGGCTGTCAACGTATTAATGTACCTAGACAAATTATGTATTAGTATTAATATTTATTAAAAAAGTATTTTTATTTCCTAAATTACTATATACTCTCCAGAATTTTCATAATAGATTGATTGACAGATTAGTTATGACCAGTGGTTCCCAGCCTCTTCTATTTCAAACCCCCTTTGTAGATTTTTAAATATCTAACACATTCCCTTCTCTGAAAATTGAAAAAAATTATAACCTTTTTTATGTGTACTTTATAAATACACAATATAATATTTGGAACATGATGGGTGCACACACTAAGATAGCATGTTAGACTTTTCCCCTGGCATCCTTTTATGGTAACACTTAATTTAGTCTGGTGGCATAAAATAATTTAATGGCTAAAGTTTACACTTAAGATCTTTTTGATACCCAATAACCAGTCAAATATAAATTTTTCATTTTCCCTTCATCTTAAAATTAAAAATAATTTAGTAAATAAAAATTGTACTTAATTATGACTGCTTCTTCCTAGCAAATTGTGCATAAACGCTCAGGGGAAAAAGCTTTTTTAAATTCTATGATTATCAGTTAATGTAGTAACTACTTAATGCAAAAATCTCCCTTTTAAAAAAAAAGTTTTTGTTCTCAGCTTATTGTATTGTACAACAAATTTTGTATTTACAAAACTTCTGAAAACCCAACAAGTCAATAAATATCATAATTTTATTAAATTTAAGAAATTAAATATATTATAAAACTAAAGATAGAKTCATCCCAAAATCAATTAAYTGTTATTTATTTTTATTCTTCAATGGTTTAATAAAGGTTAAATGTTTTAGTTTGCTGCAGCATTAACTACACCATTTGATGTTGTCAAAACCATTCGTCAAATTGAATTAACTGAAAAAGAAATTATTACCGGTAAATAATAAAATTAATTATTGTATATAATTGTATTATATACAATTTGAATAAAGTAAATACTTAGTAGTTATTTCAGAACCCCCTGGAAAAGCTTCTAAATGGACAGTCAAAGCAATTATTGACATATACCAAACAAATGGAACTCGTGGAATTTTCAGGGGCTTAGTTCCACGGATAATCAAAGTAGCGCCTGCATGTGCAATAATGGTATCTACATTTGAATACGGAAAAACATTTTTTCAAACCCGAAATATGCAATTATATTATAATAATAACGAGGAAATTCTTTAATAAAAATAAAAGATATTGGGAAAAAATATTAATTGTACATTTGTCCACAGTTACCATAGAAATATCAAATATATATATTATATTATTTTTTTTACTAACAACAATTTACCCTCGGCGACATAGGCCATTGGGTTTCAAATATATTATTATATKACTTTTTTAAATTATTRTTGATTTTGTTTTGTATTTCATATAAATCGGTAAATAATTAAATATTACAAAAAAAATCACTATATTATCAATAATTTTTTGTTAACTCATAAATCTTGTTATGTGTTAWGTTATACAGTTAAAACTACAACTTTAGAATGTATAAATAGGGTAATTCTTTTATCAAAGAATATTCCTTATTTGAAAGGGTAGGCAAGTGGGTATCATTTAATCATTGTGTACAAAAATAATTCTGAACAAAGAGTAAAAACAAGTATATTTTTTAATGTTATTGTTATTAAAGTAATCTATTTTACATTTGTAATACGCTGTACTCTATTACACATTTACACTAATACAGTAGGTATACTGCATTTGAAAACGTCATTATGAGTATGAAATTAGAATTATGTACTTTAAAATTGTCAAGTACCCACAGATATTATTATTTTCAAATTAAAATTTACAACTCAGTACTTTAAATCATTATTCTATTCAACTATAAAATGTTGATCAATTTGAACTAACTTAAATCTTTCTTATAATTAAAAAGTATGAAATTTTTTTCAAACGTAAGATCTTGTGACTCACCCTTGAAATTTTATATACATATTCATACGGGTTGTAAAAAGTTCAGGTATCAACACGAGAAATTATCCTGTATACTTTCAAATATTACTATATTTACTATATTCTGAACTAGTAGTAATCAACAATAATTGAAAGAAAAACTAATAACGATCGAAATTTTCATATGCCTATAAATAGTTAATATGCGTGAAAATTTCATTTATCTACACACTACAYWAGTTACTTTTAAAGAAATACCCTAAACCAAAATCGATTTCATCGAAAACCGATTTTGTGTAAAAATTTCCA